ATTATTATTATTATTGTTACTCTCTTTTAACACCTCTAATCTTTGGGAGGCTACCTAAATGACCGTATCTGTCTGTTTTACAAATGCCGTAAAACTCTTACGAAAGCTAAAACGGAGAGAGAAGTTAGCACGTAATGCGGGGCATCAAAACCGACGAATAAGCCTATCACTTGGGCAAACTGCCAATAAACATGTGGAGAACGGTCATTGTGTTACAAACTGCGCAGTTGAATAAACTGCCATTGGTTTAATCCTTCAGTCTTATAATTTTTTATTTATTTTTACATTTGGGGGACTAGATTTATGACCTCTCTACGTCTCTACCGGTAAATAAAAGCCGTCTGCAAAATGTTTGACTTTGAACAAAAGCATAATCAATCGCTGTTTATTGCAGGTATATACTTACTTATTAAATCAGACACACAAAAAGTTGTCTCGAACTTTCTCTATAATGTCCCCCGATCGTGAGCAGCAGTAGATTTGATTCTTTAGCTTTCCAAGGTCTTCGTTGCACACACATGTATACTATTTCATCAGATGAACTGCATAGGATGAAGAGAGGGGTTTTTTTAAAGTCTTTTTTTTTTCAGCTCCTGAAATTAAAAGACTACATTTAATTGGCGTCTGTAGTTGTTGTTTTTTTTAATTGGCTCCTGATATTAAAATACTACATTTAATAATTGGCGTCTGTGGTTTTAAAATCGTTTTTCTTTTTTTTTTTTTTGCTCCTGATATTAAAATACTACATTTAATTGGCGTCTTTGGTGTGGTAGTTAAGACTTTATTAACCTTGCACGCGAAAGAGAGGGTTCGATTCCTGTGTAGGAAAGGATAACTCATGTGTATTGTTCTTTCTCCTGTCCTCGTCGCTTTAAGCAAGACAAATTCTGAAATTATGCAAACTGAGCCCAAAAATGTGTAATTATGCGATTCTGTTAATTTTAACAAAGAATGATAAAGGAAAATAATCAGAAATTATGCACACAAAAATAATAATCAAATTTTGCTAAATTATGCGGGGTGCATAAAACCACGGGGATAGTTTCTTCTATGTGCAGACAGATAGCCTAGGCCTGGTTTACTACGCAGCAGGGGTCATTCCTGACAAACGTGGCCTAATTATTAATAATAATAATAA